TCTCTAAACATTGGCAAGAGAGAGAAGATGTTCAGAACCTGAGTGAAACACGAAGGTGCTGCTACCCAAACCTCAGGGGCTGAGAAACTGACTCAACAGGAACTATTTGCCAAGCTATAACCAGAGGAATGGTTTATCCTGACCATTTAGACCAAGTGAAACGGGGCACAAGTGACTCACATATTCTCTCTTCCTATGTTTAATTCCCATTACCTGAAGCTGTCTTGTTTCATTTTCTAGTATGTGCTTTACTCTTGTTTTCACGGCTGCTATTTCATTTAGCACATATTTAATATTAGATACTGTGCTACAGAACTCACACACATCATCTCATTAAATCCTCTCACAATCTGGTGAGGTAAGGATTCTGGCCATTTAACAGACTAGAAAACTGAGTCCTAAAGAAGTAGGGTAACTTGCTCTGGTCCTCAGCTGGCAAGTGGATGAGCTAAGCTACTCTCCTCCAGTGCTTGCCTTGACCTGAACTGATATACACTGGTTTAAGACTTAATTCAAAATCAGCTTGTCTTTTTGGTTTTTATAGAACTTTTTTTTTTTTAAATAGAAAGCAACTAAATGTTTTCCTTAAATAATTTACTTTAAAAATGTAGACTACATGTTTGGCCTTTCAAGAGTACATTCTGGGTGGTACATGATACATATAAACAATCTTCATATTTGTTTCTAATGATGGCTGGGATGGAAAACCAAATTTGCCAGGTGGAGATTTTACCCCATCCTTGGGAGCCCAGTTTTAAATTTAACTTGATTGATTTAAGGTTTGAATTTATTTCTGGCTGGCCAATTGTGGCTTCCTGGCTTAACAAAATTCCCTCAAAACAAACTGGAAAAAAGAATCCCACCTAAAATGGCAAGGTGAAACACTCTACATTTTAATGAGCTCATTGTGAGTGAATTAGAAACATTCAAATGCAATTTACTTTAAAATAGATCTGGGTGTTAAAATAAGGGACAGCTGGTAGTTTGGTTTCTTCTGATACAAACCAAACGAAGGTTTGCCCCTATAAAATGTGCTGTTACTTAGAGCACATAAATGTCACCTTTTCTTTCTTTTTTAAAAAAATAAAAGCATTAAGGTTCAGTGTAGAAGAACACTTATTTAAGGGGCAAATAAAAGAGCAATGTGGGAAAACTCTGAAACAAACAAAAAAATCTGTCATTGATATGTAAAACCCTATGTGAAACTACTTACTGACATGTGGCCTCTCACTGAAAGGCTCCAGGGATATGTAAAACTGTATAATATAACTGTGGGAGAATAAGAGATGTTTCATAGAAACTCAGTACATCTTTCTATGTTGTCTAAAAGCAACAAATATGATATTCTCTGCTATTGATGATAATGAAGTCCAAATAACAGTGAACCTGAGAGCAAAACAAAATGGAAACTATATCAGGTATGACATGGATTTGTCAGCCTTCTCCAAGAATGACCAATATTTTTAAATTATTTGCAAGTTCCCCTACCGAAGGTAAAATATAGAAGATAATTTTCTTTCAAAAAGTATACTGGCAAAACAAGAATTCCAAAGCTTTCATCTGAGCAAATGCCTCAATTCATAGCTTTTACTGTTTTTTATGCACCTCCCTCAACTTGTGCTGGGGCTCCAACCCAGAGCCTCCAATGTGCTAGGTAAGTGCTCTACCACTGAGCCACATCCCTAGCTTTCACTGCCTTAAAAACAAAAAAAGGTTTTTTCCTGTGATTGTATAACTGTGTATTTAGATTCCTTTGGTTTTATAATTACTTTTTTGTCAGTTAACTGGATTTTTGTGGCACTTTCTTGCAATGGGCACATCTTCTTTTCTTCTTTTCCCCCCAGTATTGGAGATTGAACTCAGGGTTGCTTAATACTGAGCCACATCCTCAGCCCTTTTGATTTTTTATTTTGAGACAGGGTCTTGCTTAGTTACTTAGGGCCTCACTAAGTTGCCAAGGCTGGCTTTGAACTTTCAATCCTCCTGCTTCAGCTTCTAGAGCCGCAGAGATTATAGGAATGCACCACTACCCCACCAAACCACATCTTGTTTTCTATAGCCATGTATGCATGTGTGTACATACACACACACACACACACACACACAGAGACACATGCGCACGCACACACACACCACTCCATGTCCTATATGGCTAGCACGCCTTTTTCATCCAGCTACCTCTCTCCCTTTGGTTACAGACAAGTATCTTCGAGTTTCAGCTTTCTTTTTTCCTTTAAAACTTGTATCTCCCTGCCCAGGTTTTTAACCTCAAAATTTTTAGGGATTTCAATTCTTCCATTTCTGGCCCCAGAGACTGACACATCCTTGGTGGATCCTGAACAACTTCTAAATATCTCTTTTATAACACACTTTTGTAAAATACCCAAGTCAGCTTTGTCATGGAAATAACAACTGAGTCACAAAACTTGATTGTGATAGGAAGAGATGACTATCTTCAAAAAGATTATGTTAGGAGTCTGAGAGTTTGACTCAACTTCAGGTATGTATGGCAATCTTGGGCAGGAGATCCATAGAAGGTAGGCCTATGGTTGCTAAGGTTTTCACGTGTGATGGCCCATAGGCATACTCTCTGCCTAGCATCATTTGATTCAGTAGCACTAAATGTTTATGATATTTAAGTTTAATGTTAGAATTTCAATTTGAGCAGAATCAGTGTTTGAAATCAAGTAGATAACTCTGGCCATTCATACATCACTTATCAAATACATCTTAGGAAGGAAGTGATGAATACTTCACAGAATTACTCTTAGAAGATAGGGATAATTTTTAGAGTAGTTAACTGCTGATATGACATGGGTATACACAATCAGAAGGAGCCCTTAAGGGTTGAGTCCTAGGAAAGTGAGTCTTAGGAAAGTGAGCAGGGTAGGAGCTATTGCACTTGAGGAGCTCAGGGCAACAGCTTTCTATCAACCAGATCAGAACTATTTCAGTTACCACTGCAGCCATGTTGCTGGTTTCAGACTGAGTAGCACCCTGCTGTGAGGTTCACTATACTCAACCATAATAGCATAGACCCTCTCTCTGCAATAGCATGTTTATCATGAAGAAGAAAGGCTAACCTGCAACTAACATGAAAAATTATACTGCAGATATTCCCTAATTTACTAGATGATCATTTAAAACTTGTTTATTTACTGACCGTGAAAACAAGAGTAAAGCAAATACTAGAAAATGAAACAAGACAGCTTCAGGTAATGGGAATTAAACATAGGAAGAGAGAATATGTGAGCTCACTTGTGCCCTGCATTCACATTCAACCTTATCAGCATTTGTTAAAGCAGTGTGATTTCCAAGATAATCCACTGCATTTAAAGCCACTATATCCCACTTTGGACTATATTTGCCTGGAGTTACTGATTGGCGAGGAAGGCATACACATTTACTGAGGGACTCACTTTAGCAGCTGCTACCACCTGTGGGGACCCTTGATGGTGTTCACACAGTTTTTCTGAGTGATTCAGGCTGTTTCTTGGACCAAATTCTTGAGGTGAGGAAGACTGCACACAGCTCTAGCTCTTCCCCTGGGACTGTGCCCTGCTTCTGTTTCCAATGCGGGAATGTCAGGTTCCAATGAGGGCATTCCAGGAGCTTTCAGATCAGCACTTCTCAACCTTTTCATGCCACAGGCCCTTTTGGAAGGCTGCTATTAACAATGGACCTCTCTTGGAACAAGGTTTCAGACACACAAAATAAAATGCATGGATTCACAAAGGAAACCAATCATATTGTAATACAGTTAGCAAAATGTTTTTAAAAATTGTGCTATAGCAATATATAAACTTTTTTGACATACAAGAAAGATCTGAGGGTTCTAATAACTATTTTAATACTTGTAACAACTGTAATGTCAAGTAAAAAACTTAGTTTCTACCGGTGACTAGGTTATTGATACTTATTCTTCTACCACTGTGGTTTGTTGCCTACGTTCCTAATGGAAGGAAATGCTAAATCTCAGATATTGGTGAAAAACTTAAAAGTAATTTTTTTTTTCTCATCCAAGTTCAGAGTACACCTGAATTAAATTCTCTCTCCCCTGGTTTTGAATCATTGATGAATTAAGTCCCCCAGAGAGGCTCCACCCTATGTCCTGGAGGCAGGAGCCTTCAGGCCACCCACATTGACCTCAGAACTAACAGCCTCTTGGTCTGGAAGTTTTTCCCCTAACTAGACCAGGAATTTAGGGCTATAGAGAGGGGGCAAGGCCTGAGCTCCTAAGCGCCACTTTGAAACACTCATCCTTTATGGCTTGAGGGGTTTCTTCCCAGCATCAGAACACTTGGAAACCAAGTTTGAAATTTTTGACCTCAGGGTGACTTCTAGATCCTTGGGTGATCTGGGCAAAGCTAAACTTCGGTTTTCTCATTTGCAAAAAGAAAATGACCACGTAATAGGATTGTTAGGATTAAATGAGGTAAGGGCTGTGCTTTGTAAATTGTATAGCACTATCACAGTGTGTGTACTATTATCATTTTTGACGGTTAGGTATTCGAAGAGCCAAAAAGTATGCAGCTCCAGTCTTCAAGTGTTGGGACACGTTAACACTCCATGAACCCTTAGAGAATGAATGACTGTAGTGTGCATTTGCACGTGGGTCCACAGCTTCAATAACAGGCTGCTTAGGGCAAAGAGGCCGGCGCACCGCCCGCACTTATCTTTACTGACAGGTAGTAACATCCTTCTCGCTGAGCCCTGCACCGCACAACCACAACTCAAGAGCTTCTCTTCAGAGGGGGCGGCCGGATGGGCGTCTCGGCCCGGAGCTCCCTCCAAGTCTCCCGCATCGCTGCTTCCGGGCAGGTGAAGGGCGGCGGGAGAGGGCGAGGTGCCTGGCGCTCTACAGCCGGGGCCGGTCGGGAAGGTGCTGGCGGCTTGGCCCGGCCCAGGGAGCGCGAGGAGGGGCCAGCGGGGTGGGGAGGGGCGGGGCCGGCGTCCTCGTCACTTGATAAAACGCTTGCTAGTCTCCAGAGAACAACGAGCTCATTCAGCGGTCGGGAGCTGCCGGCGAGGGGGAGCGGCAGGACATAGAGAGCGACCCGTCCCGGGGGTGGGGCCGGGCGAAGTGGCGAGAGGAGGCGAAGGTGGCCGCGGCCGCTGCAGCACGGCAGGCAGCCTCAGACCCGGCCCGGAGCGCACGGCGGCCGCTGCAGGTCCCTGCTCCCCTCTCCGTGCGCCCGCCCATGGCGGCCGCCGGGCAGCTGTGCCTGCTCTACCTGTCGGCGGGGCTCCTGCCCCAGCTCGGCGCAGCCTTCAACTTGGACACCCGCGAGGACAATGTGATCCGGAAATCTGGGGATCGCGGGAGCCTCTTCGGCTTCTCGTTGGCCATGCACTGGCAGCTACAGCCAGAGGACAAGCGGCTGTGAGTTCCCCGACTCTTCCCACCCCCACCGGGGCGCGGGCCCGCGAGAGGAGGGGCGAGGGCGCGCCCTGTTCCCGCCTGTCGGCAGCCCGCCGGCCGGCTCTACCCCTACCCTTCCCGGGACTCCTCAGGCCCCACGGTTCAGCGGGTCCCGGGGGTCGCGAGTAAGCCGCGCCCACCGCCCTCACGCTCCGCTGCGCACCTCGCGCTGGTGCCTCCCCTGTGCAGCCCTCGGAGGAGGAGAACCTGAGGTCGGACCTCGGCGGACGGCGTCCGGGGCCCCGGGAGAGTTTACTTTTTTAAAAGAAAACTTAGTACTTTCTGCCGGTTCTTCCCTCCGGGCCTGTTTGTTGGAACCCCAGCAGGTGGCACGCTTTCTGAGCTTCACGTGTGTGTGTTTGGTGAAGGGGGTGGGAGTCAGGGTCATAGCATCGCTGCCTCGGGGCTGCTGGAGCGACGTTCCAGGCCTTTCCCAAACTCACAGGACACCCGGTCCCCTGGCGAACTCGCGCGCTCCGCGGAAGTTGGAAAGACACTTTCCTTAGTGTCCTGGGTGACTTTACCCTCAGGGCGTACGCTCCTAGAGGGGTTACTTTTACTCGCTCTCCACCCCTCTTTTGGAAGGTGGAATTAACCAAGCACCTGTTCACAGAACTAGATAAGTTAAGAAAGTAAGTCTCTCTGAGTGGTGTGCCTAGTCCCCCCCCCCCCCGCCTGGTCCCCTAATCAATTGTTCGGCCGCACCCGAGACCCGCTGCACCCCTGCACTGGGCAGGCTCAGCCAAGTGGGTAAAAGCAAAATGTCCGATCTTGAGCTGAGACTTAGCAAACAAGGTTCGGAAGTGACAACCCCCCACCAGGGCTGTGCTCTTCAGAGGAGAAAGTGGAGACCGGTGCTCTTTGCCTCTCCTTTTCTTTTTAAAACTATTTGGTTCCCACATGATCTCTTTAGACCCAAGAGGGTATTCTGGAGCTAAGCCTCCTTAATCGCTGTGGGGCTGCATTCTTGATCCGTGCTACGGAAAAACAGACTCTAACAACAAAAGGACCCCCTCCCCACCCAGGCCTTTAGTTGAACCCAGGTCCTTCCAGGACCAACAGACCGGAGAAAGCAAAGTGCAGCCACAGCATGAAGGATATTTTACTGTCCCTCTTTTGGGACTTTGGAGCTTGTGGGAACATTGATTTCATTGGTTAACATCGTTGGAATTTGTGAACATTGTGTACATCCGCATCTAAAAGTCATTTTTTTTTTTTCTGACAACACCTGCTAGGTGAAGCAGAGACACTAGCTGAGGGAGGGGCGTCTGCAGGCAGGTGGTCTGAGTTTGCAGGCCTGGCCAGCTGCTTATACTCTGCTTTCTTATAGAAGAAATTGTTAAGCTGTAAATCTGAAATGAAAGGTGGTTTCTGCTAATTCAGTTAATGGATGACATTTAGTGTCTTAGAATACTGTGTGTAGCTGTGTTTTCACCCACATGATTTGAACTTGTTAGTGCACAAGTGTCTGTGGGCCAGCAGAGGGAATGCATTCCCCTTGGCATTCTGGCTTTTTGGGGGTACTTGTCCAAGCAGATGTGAAGGGGAAGCACTGGGGCAAGAGTTGTCCTTGGGATGGAAATTTGTACAGTGTGCCTTTAGCCAGGAATCTCTGTCATGAAGGTGAGCAACATGCCTGCTCTAACTTGTCACTGCTGCTGGGCTTCTCTGGTATTAGAGCTGCTGTAGGCCTTCCCCAGGGTAAGAAGCTTGTGACTGGGCTTGAGGCCTTCTAATAGAAATGCTTTTCTTTAGGGCTTACTGAGGGGAGTAGCTGGTCAGACCATCAGATGGGAAAAGGGCCACCTTAAGGGGACTGTGTCTTTCTCTGGAGCCCAGAGGCAGTAACCACACTGTTAGGTGACAGTGGTTTGTGACTGGTGTTGCTCCACACTTTGCTAGAGTACTCCAGCTTCAGGAGTAGCAGTGGTCCTCCCAGGAGAACCAGCATATGCATCCCGTATCACATCCCTTATCCCTAGTAACAAGGATGTGGATAATAGAGCCAGTGAGATTAAAACAACTGGTCAGGTTTCCTAAACTCCGTGGAAAAGATGAATAGGAATATTTCAGGAAACTGGTGGAGAGTGTCCCTTCTTGGCCATTTAGTAAATGTTCATTTACTTTGGACTTTAGTTTCTTTATCTACAAAATAAAGATATAATAAAGGAGATACACTGTTTAATAGGGTTGTTGAGAGGATTAAAGGGACATGCAGAGTACTCAGTGCCTCCTCAGCAAGGATACTTACTGACCAAATGGTAGGTGTTAATGATAAATTTAAAAGCAGTATCTGTGTTCTTAGTTACTGTGTGTCAGATATTGCATAGGTGTTCTGATATTCTGTGACTGTATTACTGCGAAATAGTAAAGCCAAAGGTTGTTGTTGGTCTGGTTGATTCATATCTTAAATTCTCAATCACATTTATGAAACTTAAAGCAGTTAACATCAATGAATTGTAATTAGACTCATAACAAAAGTAAATTTAATGAACAAATGACTTTGAGATAGAAGTAAAATATCATAGATGTGTGGGAATATTAGATAAATACTCTGTTATAGAAAACCCATTATAGATTTTCATGGTTTAAATTTTCTACAATGCCACCTAAATATTTAATAATGTCTTTAACACTAGTTAAGATTCTATGACAGAATAATACTGTGTCTTAAAGCCCTTAAACACATTGGATGTTCTTAAAGCTCTAGGAGCCATCGGACTTGAGGGAATGGTGTAAAACTTCCTCCAGAAGTTTCAGATTCCGAAAGATGATTATTAGCTGGTCATCTGAAGTGACTGAGGTCAAGGTCTGAGTGCTTTGGACTCTTTAATTTCTCTTAGGTACTTAAAGTTGAGTCATCCAAAAAGGTGGAAGGTATGTGAAGGTGAGGACTGTGGGTATATGCATCTTATGAATCATTCCCCAGCCCTTCTGGAGAGAGGGGTCTGTATGACCACAGGGCAGGACCTAGAAGGAGAATGAAGTGTCAGTGATTTTTGAATGGCTCCTAAGTCTCACTTTCTTCTCTCTGATCACCACTATGTTCTAGAAGCTTTCCAAGCCCACCATCACTATTTTTATAACTCCATGATGTTTGTTCTTAGATTTACTCAGACCTGCGATGTCCTAGCATTTAAATCATATTTTCTTAACTAAATATCATCTAGTCTGACTCCCTTAAGTTGCAAGTTGTGAAGACTTTTCCAAAGTCTCACAGCTGTTTACACAGAATCTTAACGGATCTGGATTTGAAGTTGGTATTTCTGACTCATGCTCATGCCCTCTCTAAAAGGAAAAATCAGAAATATCCTTTAGACCTGGAGAAGTTGGCAAGCTTTTGAGTTTTGGAAATGCACTATATTGTGTTGATTTATTAAACTGCTTCCCATATGGGTCAGGGTTGTCTATTTAAATGTTGGTGCCTGGACTCTCTTCCTATTGACCCTTATTCCAACTGGCCATGGATCAAGTTTTAGGACCTTACTTCTGAAAAAGTGCATTGGAGTGCGACTTGCTAGCCAGGGATCAGACTGTGTCCAGGATGTGTACCTAAGCACTTGCTTCCTTGCATTCATTCATTCTTCAGAGTGCCATGTGGCACAGGGCCATCTTTCAGGTGTTGCTGGGTCACCTTGAGTCCTGAGAGCAGAGAAAAAGCCAAAATGAGCAAGAAGACTTGGAGGAAGTCTTAAGAATCTGCAAACAAGCAGAAATAGGTGGGTTTAATTTTAACACAGACTGGTGTGAGACTATCCAGGTAATGACAGGTTTGGAAGAAAGGGTCAAAGTATTTATGTGGTATGAATAATTTGCTGGGAAAGCCAGGTTCAAGGGTCATAGAATAAGATTCTCTATTACAATGAAGCAGTTCATGTAGAGTATAGACTGTTTAAGCCTAACACTATGTTGAGATTTAATTTGTTTTTTATAATCGGAGTATTGAAACTGTGGTACAAGGTTCCCCCAAGGACCTTGACCTAACATCTTACATGGCCAGTGAATTCTGTGGTATTTCTAAGAGGGACACTGGAGACAAAACAAAATACCATCATATGCTTGGATGATAGGCCAGTTGTGCCTGAAACACTGGTGAGTGCTGAGTCAGCCCATCTAAAGAAAGAATCTAATCAAATCTCAAGAACCTGTCCTACCCCACAGCAACTTCTTCCTGTGACTATTGATAGCAACGTATCTGACAGTTATGATGTTTGACTATTGTCCTTCATCTTCAGGGATGGTCTCCTCTCTCCCATCTGGATTACAGCTTATGTGAGGGCAGGGATCTTATGCTCATTTCTTTGCCTGATAGCACCTAGCCTGTGCCTTGCAAGTACAATGAAGTCGTATCATACACTCAATTTAACTTGTGAAATCAACTCTTCTGCTGAGGGTAAAGAGAAGGAGAAGTCCCCTTATTTAACCCTTTGCCCTTCCCTGCTCAGGCCTTGGTGACCTGCTGTGCTGAGGGAAATGGAGGCTATAGCTGTAATGCAAAGTCACACAAGAATTCTTGCTGGTTGAGTTTAAGGGCCCATGTCCCAACTCAGGGATTTTCGTGAATGATTTCTTTTTTTTACTACACTTGGCTTTTGCCCTAGAGGCAGACTTTAGAACTTAATCCCAGAGACACAGGTTGACCTGCACTACAGTGGGTGTTCAGGATGCCAGGTTGTTGGTTACAAGGAGTCTAGCTAGAGAAGCATGGCTGGAGCATCGAAGTCCTGAAAGCAGCTTGACTAGGTTGGGGGTCAAATGGGAATAAGCATGCTAGGGCACTTGTGAATTGATAGTGAACAGTTTAGTTACTCAAGGATAGCAAGGGAATCTTAGATATATTTAATTCTTTAGATGGAATAGGGGAGAGGCTGCTCACCCCTTGATGGGGGTCCTAAGAGCTACAGAATGGGGGTCTGGAGGCCTGTGTGACACTCCCACCAGCCTCTTGGGAGGATGGTAAA